ATAAACTTTAATATTTCATGAAATTCTACGTGTCAACTCTATATATATATACTTAGGTATTATATAATTATTATTGTTCAGCAAATGCACATATCAAAAGCTGTGTAAATATTATATTTATGTTTTGTAATTGGTAGCATTGATAACTTCTCTATTTCGATTCACTTATTTCCATCTTCTGAACGAGTTATTCGTATGTGCTTTTGCTGAATAATGCAATCACAATTCGCAGATGGTATCAACAGTAACTATTTTAGCATACAATATTTAAATACATTCGCTGAATTTTATAATTTACGCATAGCTAAGCCAATGCAATATGCAATATAAATAGTAATATATCTTTTATATGCTTTTTAAGCGCATTCAAAATTAATTTATTATAATTATAAATATTACTGAAATATTTAGTGGATTGGGGGAAGGATAGGAAACATATAGATTAGGATATATATCCTTTTTCTTTACAACTTCTCTTTTGTACCTTAAAAGTAGGTAACGCATCTTCTACCATTTCACTTATTTTAGATGTCTATTGACTACGGTCACTTCACTATTTTATCAAATTCAGGTAGCCACTTGCTCGTTTATTACCTTTTGCTATAAAAAAATTAAGTAGCAAACATTGATCGCCATTAATATCTGCCTGATAATTGTTATCACCTTTTAAACATGTGATATAAAAATATTATGGTATAACAAATATACAACATAATATTTTAACGAGAATATATCATGTATATTCCCTTTCACACAACCATTCATACAATCCAATTCATTCTCCTATATTCATCACCTTCCATTCTTGCTTATAAATATCTCACTAATGTCTGTTTACAAACTAAGACTGTTAACTTCCTAAACCCTTTGACAGAAGCCGCCAGGCTCAAACAATATTGTAACGGCATCTATCAGAGGGTAATAAAGTACACATTTAAGTAGAGTATTAAAAATAAAAATAACTTATATCTAAAATTTGTGCGTATGTCAAATGTGGCTTTTAAAGCCACATTCGTAACTTATCTAATATCACATTTGAACTTACAATCTAACCATCGTACAGGTCCGGACATCACCTTTCACACGGATCTTTGTCACATCAATTCCCTTGCCAATTAAAACTACTATTTACACTATGTACAAAGTCCCGTGCTGTTCTGGAACTTTAAAACAATGCAATATTTGCCGTTCCTATCGTGCAACACGTTAAATGCAGCAACAACACCATCACCAATCAGACCGGACCTGCAACCCAAAAGCAAGCTCTCCATTTAACCATTTGCACGGGAACCTTGACAAGATTTGCATTTGGTTTAAATTCCAGAACAGCACGGGAGTAAACTAAATAATTATATCAATTAAGACGGGTATGTTTGACGATGTTTTTATAATAATTAAGTAGAAAGTGACGTTTTAAAATCGCTATATGTACATATTAATTATTCCTAGTAATTAATTATAGATTATTTACACGTAATATTTACAAGTAATTATAAATTACCATTGTTGAAACATTTGAATAATAACATTGTCAGTCCGCTTTAAAAAAGCAATGACCGCAACAAAGACGGGTATGTTTGACGATGTTTTTTATACTAATTAAGTAGAAAGTGTCCTTTTAAAATCGCTATATGTACATATTAATTATTCCTAGTAATTAATGATAGTTTATTTAAACGTAATATTTACAAGTAACCCTAAATTACTATTGTTAAAACATTTAAATAATAACATCGTCGGTCCGCTTTAAAAAAGCAATGACCGCAATAAAGACGGGTATGTTTGACGATGTTTTTTTATACTAATTAAGTAGATAGTCAGCTTTTAAAATCGCTATATGTACATATTAATTATTCCTAGTAATTAATGATAGTTTATTTAAACGTAATATTTACAAGTAACTATAAATTACCATTGTTGAAACATTTGAATTATAACATATTATCAGTCCGCTTTGAAAAAAGCAATGACCTCAATAATGTTTTAAAACAAATATTTCTGTTATATTATGGAGTCTAACAGTTACAAAAAAATCAATTCAACGCGTGCATTCTGCAGACTTAATAGTAGATTATAATATTTATAATTAATCAGTCTTTCTCATCTTTGGTGGATTAGGGGGGTCAATGGTACCACCTAAGCTCTAAGAGCTTTGGTTTAGCAAGTAGCTCCGTAGTGCAATGATAAATCCTAATAGCCATACCAAAAGACCTAGATGATGTAGTAACTAGTAACATTCCATAATCAATATAGCCAGTAATTAAGTACGTAATGTAAATTGACATCAGGTGTTGGAATGTCACATAAACCAAGTACCTAGTCCTAGTATTTCTCACACCGTGACCATCTAGATCATGTTAGAAAAACTATCATTCAATAACAAATATTTATTACTAATGAAAGTTTTATCTGACGTAAACGGAGTAAAAATATCTATCAATAGGCACCTGGTTTTTTTGCATTATGTACTATTCTTCTAGCAATGTCACTAATGCAATGTTACTAACATGTTTAGGCCCTCAGAAAGGTTTTTAATGATTTACCAATGCGATAGTCGTCAAGAGGAATTTCGGCGTAGATGCCAAACTAACCTAGCGACGGCTACCATGACTAGTTCTTTGTGGTCGATGTCCGGGTTAAATTTTATGCTGATTCTGGACGAAATGTTGACTTCCAGCTTGTTTTTTTTTTCAAAGACACTGAGAGTGATGACAATATGTCTTTGTAGATGCGTTCTGATGATCGAATCGCACAGTATGTTATATTCATAAAAAGATATCAGCTTGATGTTTCGTCTATATTGGGGTAATATTCACTTGGAGATTTTTAAAGTGCAAACGTGATCTCTATCTCTATTAGATGTTTATGTTGTCTTAGTAATTGATTAACTCACTCTACTGTCACTGTCTGGATTTTGTTCACGGCCTATTAAGTGTTTGATTTGATTTTTTTGTTTTATATGATTAGGATTATCTTAATTATCAATCTATTAGAATATCTAAGATATGTACAGGATAAATTTACTCTAATCTAATTTTTTGTGTATTTTTTAATTTTTTTTTTATGAGAGGCGAAGACTAAACTTTCTAAATGCAATGATACTCTAAAAGCGGTAATGAATTCGTGAATTATAAATAAATATTATCTACTTTTTTTTTGATTTAAAATTATTTAAGAAAATAAATGAATAGTCCAGTTATTTAGTACGAATAATTAAGGTTGTCTGAAAAGTTTTCTGGGAACGTCGTAAGAGCCCAAAACTATTATTTGCATGAACGAGAAAAATTATGCAAGAACACAAATTAAGAAATAATATGTTTGTATATTTAAAGAAGGATACTATTGTCATAAAGAAACAAATCAATAAATAAAGCTGCTGTTAAGAGATTAATGAGTAAAAATTGTAATTGGAAAGTAAAAATTCGGATACTATAAGTCGAAATTTACAAAAGTCGAGATTTTTGAAACCACCCCGAAAACTTTTCAAACTATTTAATAACTGGACAAATTTATAGACTTAAAATTAAAACATACAGCTTCGCTATGAAACGAACTGTATTTGAACACAATTTTTGGTAAGTACCTTAGTAATGTTTTAAATACATTTTTTACTAAAAATAACAAAATAAGGAAAGATTTTAACCTATCTAACCTATATACCATCGAATTAATATTTACAAAATCCTTAACTCTTTCACACCAAAAAAACTAGTAAAATACGAACGCAACTTTAAAATAAAACTTTTTTTATAATATATATAGATATATATATATATATACAGGGTGTCCCAAAAGGTTACGTACATATGAAGGGGGATGATAGGGGTGGTCACAAGGGTCACCAGAAAAATAAAACAAAAATTCCCCTCTGGGTATTAAAAAAAAGGCATTTTTTTAAAACTGAAAATTTTTACACCTTCTGGGGCAATTTTGTAACCGATGACCTACAAATATGGCTATATTTAAAAAAAAAACTATTATGTTATCGTCAATAACCCTTTATCAATATGAAATAAAAAAAAAACAATACAACTAACAACGATTTTAAAGAAAATTAACCTTCTGGGGCAATTTTAATTTTCTTTAAAATCTTCGTTAGTTGTATTGTTTTTTTTATTTCATATTGATAAAGGGTTATTGACGATAACATAATAGTTTTTTTTTTAATGTAGCAATATTTGTAGGTCATTGGTTACATAATTGCCCCAGAAGGTGTAAAACTTTTAAGTTTTTAAAAAATGCCCTTTATTTTTTTTAATACCCAGAGGGGAATTTTTATTTTATTTTTCTGGTGACCCTTGTGACCATCCCTATTACCCCCTATCCTATGTACGTAACCCTTTGGGCCACCCTGTATATAGATTTACAAATGGTTTGTTACAAAATCTAAACTAGTTCCCGGCAATATATATATTCGAACAATTGCCGGAAACTAGTTTAGATTTTTTTCATTCCACGCGAATCGAGTCGCGGACGACAACTATTAATAAAAAAAATACTAGTAAAGAACAAACTCAACTTTTACTTAAATTAATGTGTAAATAACTAATAAAATATTGCAAAATAATACTATTATCCACTTGTTTAAAAGTGGATAACTTTTATTAGTCACCATTAATGATTGAAAAAATGTTGCTATCAATTTTTTTCTACCAGAAGGTGGCAAACCAATAAGTGACCACCTGATTTCGCTAAAATAGCGAAGTGACCGCAGTCCACAGACAACCTCAACAAGCTAAACAGTAGGAGATGCGTTATCTATCTTTAATGAATAAAAGAGTTTGTATAAGAATAAGAATATTACCTTGTCCAACTAATCCCCTACCCTGCCGATCAGTAATCGCATATTTGCTATTTTATAACAATTTGAAATATAAAGTTATGTCTATTATGACAATAAACATTTGCTATTAAATTCTTAAATAACATGCAAACAGTAAAATGATCTACACACCTACTAATATTAAAGAAATATTTTTCAAAATGTATTTTTTTTTCAATTAGTTGCTGGTAGTTGGTGGACCAGATGAATCATGGAAGTGGCTTCTAACCTGAAATTAAACGTTAAGATAAAATTTTCATAGCAGACGCTACAAAAACTATTTTTAGAACTGTTTAATTCCTAAAAAAAATTTAGAACGAAGATATCGTTGTTCATTTAACAAAATTATAATTGGACGGACTGTAGAACCAGTTGCAACGCAACACCTATTTAATAAACGCAAATAAAAATATTTTTATTTTCAGACATCCTGTGTACGTGAAATGTAAGTTACCTGCAGATGAACAGCTAAGTCCATGATGATGTGCACGAGGGTCGGGTGCTCGAGTAAATCGTCAGGGAGCGGGGGCGAGGAGCGGGGCAGCTGGTTCCTGGAGCGGAAGCCGCGATGCATGCGCAGAGCCACGGCGCAGAATATGAAGCGAAGTAGCAGCAGCCGCAAGAAGTCATCCGCCATGAATGCTATGAATGCTGGGTCTGGAAAATATATATTTTTTTTACTTATAGGTTAAGGCTAAATATAAAAAATTGCTTCAAAGAATTGGAATATGTGGTAATTTTCAGGTTAAGAATATGAAAAATAATTGTGGATTAGGCAACATCGTTTTGGTATTTCACCTCATATTATTATAACTATCTAGTAATTTCCATAACATCAAAATAGGGAATGCTAAATTATAATTTAACTCCTTTTTGTAGTAAATGAAGTTTGCAAAATTTTAGGTCTATATTTGGAACTGGGTTGTAGTTACCAATGCGATGTCTCATCATGACTTGCGCGGCTTCTATTATGAAGGCTTCGATGTAGCTCTGCGAGCGTTCCCACTGCACCAGCGGCACTGTCTTAATGTCGCAGCAGTAGCAGAATGCCGACAGCGGCGAGTGCAGGAACAGCGTGAACAAACTGCCCTCCTTCCTGTAATCCGCTGTAACAAAACACATTTTCTCTTTACTATTTCTATATTTCGCCATATTTCTTGTGTTGTGTTGTCTTTTGTTTTTAACTGCAAATGTATTTTTTTTAACTGATTTCTTTTACTATTTAATGCAATTTATGTCATGACACCTTAAAAAACTCTTGACTCTTGCAAACGTTTGTTAATGTACCCATATAAAAAATCAGAACTAATTTTGAGTAAGACTGAGAAGAAGTATAACGAATGAAATACAATGTTGAAGTATATTTGTCTAGATTACAAATGTATACTTACAAGGAAATGTACTCGGAACTTCCAACGGCGACATCAGTACGATGAGCGGCTGCGCGAAGTGCCGCGGAATGTTTTGAAAGATGTACGAGTTGTCCGAGTCGATGATAATGAACAGGGGGCATCGGGTAAACGGGTACAAGTCCCCAGGGTGGATGCATTGGGAATCTTTGGTTTTAGATTGTGACGGTCTTGGTTCACGAGACGCATCTATGTCTCGGTCACGATCGCCTTTCTCTCTGTCCCGTTCACGATCACCCTTGTCTCTGTCCCGCTCTCGTTCACGATCGCCTTTTTCTCTGTCACGCTCGCGATCGCGATCGCGATCACGATCGCCTTTGTCTCTGTCCCGTTCCCTGTCACGATCGGAATCACGCTCCCTGTCTCGCTCGCGATCCCTATCACGATCCCAAACCCTTTCCCTGTCACGCTCGCGATCCCTTTCCCGGTCACGGTCTCTCTCTCGTGTTCTATCTCTATCCCTTTCTCTTTCTCTTTCCTTTTCCCGGTCCCGATACAAGTCGCTCTTGACATTTGTCATAAGACCTCCGATGTCGTATCCAGCTGCAAAAACAATCACTGTTACTCGTTTTTTTGCACAAAAGGTATAGTCATTGCAGAATTAACCTTCTTTTTATTGCACTCAGTCGCGTATTACTATTTGAGAAAGTATGATGAAAATGATATGGCTAACAAAAATGGACTGAAAGCTTCTAGAGTTGTGTGCATAAAGCAGTTTTCATCTAAGTGGACATCAACATGAAACAAAAGGTTGATGATTCAAGAACGACCGCAATGTCCGGTATAATAAGACATTTTAATGAAATATTAAATCGCTCGGCTGCACGTATAAACCTGCATTAATGTAGCAAATGTTTGATGAGAGCTCAAAGATCAAAAAGCAATTGGTTTGTTTGCATCAAAACCGTTGCAATTTTTCGCTTTGCAGTAAAACTCTTGATATAAATAAATACAGACATTTAAACATCAGCTCAATTTTAGAAACTTTCGCTCAAAGGAATCTGAACGTAAGCGATTTGTTTGCGTTTCTTTTTCCCTTTGGCTTGAGTTAACATTTGATAGACTCCTTTAATACTAGCCGTGATGAGTTTTCGCTACTTGATTAATGTAGTAACAGCTAAATATATTTACATATTTATAAGATATCTAGATATAGATATGAGAATAAATTCTACTTACTAAAAAAATCTAAACAAGTACATTGTAATTCATTTCTTACGTTGTTTTTATTATTGACGCAAAGCATGACTATTAAGGTATAATAATTCGCAAAAAGATTTAATAATTTTATAAATGCGAAGATTTAACAATTATTGTAGTTTTCTGTGATAAAATTACACACTTATATCGTAAAAGTCGCAAGCAACAGGAAAAAGATTGAAAATTTGATAGTCAATAGTTTTGCATATCTATGAGTATAACACAACCAGTTAGGATAAATATACTTACTGTCTTCAGATACTTTCGAAGCGGGGACAATATAAGCATCGGCAGATATGTAGAGGAGCAGAACGCCGTTAGAGGGCAGGTCGAAGCAACCACTGGCTAAGTACACCAACACTTGGGCGGCTGATGGCTTGAATAGCAGGTACTTGTGAGGATTTTCATGACGTCCTGTGTTGTCGTGGTTGTAGGCTGAACCAAAAATATCAATTTTAGAATAATACACATTAAATCAGGTAAATTCGCGACATAGTATCTTAAAAATACGCCGTAAAAAGTAGAGTTTGTATAAATAATGTAGATTTGTAATACTGTAAAAGCTCCTTTTTCGTGCTTCCTTTATTCGCGTTTTCACTATTCGCGGATTAAAAAAAATGTGTCCCAATTTCGCGACTAAAATATTTTTTGATATATGGAACGTGTACCCCGCGAGTAAAGATCTTTTACTGTATTTCTGTTAGGAAGAAAATCCGACACTGTGACGGTGTACTGGCCCAACACTAGCCTTACTAAAATGTCGTCTTTGTAATGAAAGCGCGCCATTCGCGACAAAGGATTCTAATTAATAATGTCTAAAACTTCGCAAGATTATACGCACAGCATTAATTTAACCAGTGATATCGCTTTGCACCGGATAAAAGTAAAATGAACTCTAAAGTAAGCAATTTAACGTAGTAAGTAAACATTCGATTACAAAACAAGTTTTGTCGTGTAACTTTGCCTTAAATAACAATTCTTTTCATCTAGTAAGGGCTTCACGTAAACATATTTTTATGTAAAGTAACAGTGACGCAGAGAGTTAGATCAATCTTACTAATTTTAACACTGAGAATGTTTGGATGGATGGATGTTTGTTAGAAGTTATATCCAGAACGGATGTGTGGACAAAGTTTTTCTTCTAGATTCCGTGAAGACGTATTCGCGTGCGATAACTAGTCTTTATATCTTGAACTGCATTTGTTACTGTATAATATCGTAACAATTGCATTTTATTCGTAGCTAAGTTTACCTTTAATAATCTGTGGCGTTGGACCGAAGCGATGTCGCGGGGATTCGTTGTACACTTGAGGCATTTCCCCAGTTGGTTCCCATTCTAGGGTTTGCAAGATTCGGTACATATCCATCGTTAGTTCTGAGAATTTAACTTGCTGCGATACGCTGCCCACTATAACGGCTTCTTGAAGTGTTAGAGTTGCTGCTGTTGGACGCTCCGGCGGTGGGACGCTCATCATGTTGAGTCTAGGAAAATGTGAAACGAAAAACAAACATCTATAAAATCTTTCATTTTATATTAATTTAAAAAAATGTTGGTCAAAAAATCTCAGCACATGACCACATAAGTTATCATTAGATTCAATACTTTCATTTTACTCATCATGTTAATTAGGAATAAACTATATGTCTATTCCTGTTCGGCATAAAAAGTTATTAAGAAGTAACTGTACGGTACCTATGAGAGAGAACTATGGGATAGTTGTCCGGATGAAGAACAGTCACGGCAGCTTCAGCGACTATGAAGGCTTTGACTTCATCCATAACGAAAGTCCATTCTATCTGGTCATCTGGATCGTATGTTGCTCCGTACTCAACGATTTGTTTATCTAGTTCTTTAATCAAATCTCTTACGAGAGCCAGTTTCTTGAGGAGAAGGCAGACAACAATGAATCTTGCGTAGTATCGGAGCTTCTTAACCATCAGTTCGCACTTGTCTTCTCGGCTCGCCTGCGTATAGTAACTGCGGCCTCGAATTGCAGAATAGAATGAAAATGCTTCACTCAAATATCCAGTTTCGCTAGTGCGTAGGCTGTATGGGCAAAAGTTTTTATCCGATAAATTAAAACAAAATCCTATTTGATTTAACTCTATGTCATTGAATGTGTCTTAATACTTACTAAAAGTGGTAGTACAGTTGCCCGATTTTCGATGCAATTTCCCCAATCTGCCACCTCTTGAGACCGTACTTGTTGTCGAGTACACCGCGGTGTTGTTGTTGGAATTTCCACAGTTTTGTGTAAACGTCAAAAGTACGCCCAAAATATGAATGCCATTGCCTGTGGCCATATTGGGGGAGCTCCCTGTTATATAATAGTGAATTTAGTAACTAGATATTTAAAATATATTTAATAAAATTTAATTTCTTACAAGCCTTATTGACGTAACGCTTTAATTGCATGTTACATTGTAAATCAAATATTAAGTTAAAAAAGAAAAATAAACTATTTTGTTACTATTTCGAATACTGCAAAATAGTAAAATTGAAAACAAATAATAGTTGACAAATGACACCTATACATAATAACTAAATAATCAAATAACTGTGCAACTAATATTAACAAAACTCACCGTAAACCATTGAAGAGCTGCTTCGACTTCTCTAAAAGGTGACAGAACTCAATAATAACTTTCCGTTCGTGATCTTCAAGAGGATTCATTGCAGATCTTGTTCTATAATTATTGCGATAGTATGATTCTTGGTTGAAATACGGAAGGTCGGCCAGCGAGTTTATATTGTGAGGCTCCGACGTGCAAAGCCTGCCGCGGATATTTTCGTATTCTCTGTAATTCTCAAAAAGACGACTGAATCTAGAAGAAAAGTCTGTGCAACTGCCGTCCTCGCTCCCTGACGACAAGTCTTCAAATTCATACGTCTCCCTAAAAATATATGTGAACGATTGTCGCCGACTCTCTCCTGGTGCGAATGGAGCTGGGGAGGGGGGAGACGAGTGGCTTGGGCTTTGTACTTTGTATGTTGATTTGTACGCCTCTAGAGATTTACTTCGTGGGCGTATGTATGCTAAGCCAGTTTTTGAATTTATTGGCACTGCTAAGGCAAGCCTTGCCAAAAGAAGATACTTATTGGGGTTTTTCGCGAGCTGGCTTTGTATACTGTTTTCGACAGAAGTGTTTGTAGAAGCATCAGATGTAAATTCAGGCGCTGGGTACCGCCGAAATTTGGATTTCTCTAAGCGGATCTTAGGCGCGGGATACCGATGCGAAGGACCTGGCTCGGGAGAAGGTTCCCTACTGCGTTTGGTCTTCTGAGGTGACTGGGTAGGAGTTTGAGTACCCCTGCTGATAGTTATCAAAGAACGCGATGGAGATTCCCAAGAGCCTACTCTAGGAAGCCGATGAGGCTCTACAAAAGTTATTTGCTTCTTCTTTCCGTTGTTTTTCTTATCCTCCGATGCATTAGCGTCTTTTAATATTGTTGGTACTGTAGAGCTTGATCCAAATTTTCGAGCCCAAAATGCTTTGAATCTTGAGGTGTGACCAGGTTGTGACGAATCTTGAACTAAAATGGAAAAGAAGTTGCATTAATAAGGGCTCTAACAGAAACATGATGTGTTGATAATAAATCATGAGATTTTCATTTTTTTGTTTCTTAAAGAAAAGATAGATTAAAAAGAAAGTTTTTAGAAAACTATTCTAAAGTTATTTCGTCTACGTATGTCAAATTGGTAGAAATGTTCTTGAGTGTAACGGAAATCGATTAGCCGTTAGAGCATTGAAATCTGTTACCTCTCGACACCGCATGCTATTCCCCGACAGTTGCTGGCAGATTATATTTCTCATACTATCTGAACGAATTTTAAATCCAACTCATGAACAGACAGTGCAAAATTCAATATCCGCTACTTTCCGTAACTGTCAGAACAGACTACAGATAATAGTTTTAGAGTCTATAAATTTTCTGATCATATTTAAAAATTGATTGATGAAATGTTTTTACATTTTGAGGTTTTGATTTTAACCGATATTATTTGAAAGCTATTATTTATTTATCGTTAAGATGTTAACACTCACTGTTATAATATTTTTATAGTAAAAAACAACTTTATAACAAATCGGTGCAACTTAACTTTTAATTTTTTTTCTCTTTATTTCTTTCAGGGACTTTCGTTCTTCTGAACATGACAGTCCCATAACAACTTTTAAATGTGCACTTGTGAGTAATACTTTCGAAATCTAACGTATCATATAAAAGACTATGTTAAAGTTTTAAAGCTAAAAAGTCTAAGTCTAAAAAAATTATACTGTAACTTTTTTTTTTGTTTTTTTTTTGAGATTTTTTAAATTTTTTAAATTTATCTAGGTGTACACATGCTTTCATAAAAAAGTCCTACTTATACATAGATTTGTTAGAATGTAGGTAATTGGCGCACACCATTAGCATGCTAGTACTGGTTACAATCGATATTTTGATTTCCACTGTTTAGATATTCCTGCAAATAGATTTTACTGACCTGGAAGGAGTAGTACAAAGGAAAGTAATTAACAAATTACTTTCCTTTGTACTACTCGTTCCATACAGCTTATTACAGTCCGAATAATCGATTGAAAATGTCGCATTGTGTTTCCTATTTAAGAGAACTCGCTACGTTTTGAGATTTCATATTTAGTTTCGAAATTATCAGACGTCGAAATAAGATACTATTCATATAATTGTAAACCTAATTAAGATGCTTAATATATCGTATTCTGAACCTTCATCTTTAGATATTTCTAGTACTTGTAAACTAAGAATAAGATGTAAATGAGACGCTCTAGCAAGAATTATTAATCAACACAAAATGCAAATAATATTGTGAGAGGTACTTATCGCGGTATTCAGTAAAGTTTGATGCCCCCACGTTGTGTGTGTGATGTTAATTACTTAGTAGTAACTTAAGAGAATACTTAACCCTCGTGTTCATTTTGTAAAGTAAAATTATTTTTAAGTTAGTTTTTTTTTTAATTTTTTTTGCTTTTCTTCAAAAAAATCTTGCCACAATAAGGGTTAAAGTTATTATAGGATATTTATAAACACAATATACTCAGAAGCATATCTACTAAAAGTCTACTAAAATATTGAACCAATGATTAGTTGCTTCTCTTTTGAATTGAGAACTTAAGTATTGTTATTCAATTGTGGGTAGTTTTAAAGTTTAGATACAGTTTCCTTTCCATAGTTCGATAAGTACGGTACAGTATTACAATTTGAATACAGTTTCAATGAGTTTTATAAAACGCAGTTACATTTGTTCAAGGTCAGAAATGAAGCTCAAGAAATGTATCGTTGAAATGGAAAAGTTACAATTTCAATAACAATGGTCCCTTTTTTCAACTTTTTTATTATGTCTTGGAAAATTGAAAACTTACAATGGTTTCTTTATTCAACTTTCTTGTTGTGATTGGGTTAATTAAAAATTGTTCTTTGAAATCTTTACGTACGTAAGTACAAGGATTTAAGAATTGTTTTTAAGCTTGAATTGTTTTGAGTATAATATCCTAACATAAAACTTGTTCTATTCAATTATAAATGTCAAGTTTGAAGTTGAAAGTATGTATGAAGTATTATTCAAACAGTATAAAGTTAGCCAACCAACCACCAATAGAAATTAATAATTCAGAAAAGAGTTTAAAAAAATATTTAGGTAACTATAGCAACATTAGAACGTATCATATTTATTTCCAAAATGTCTATTTAGGTATAAAGCGTCTAAAACGCTTTATTACAAATAATACACATTATTACAAATTAGTTAAAAGTGAATTGATAAAATTATAAAAATATTTTTAAGAATATTTGTTGTTGCCATGCAAAATAAAATATTTTAGTCAAATATCAGATTACAGATCGATTGAAATGTATTTTGCAAAAATAAGTCCAGAGATTGATAGCTCAAGTTGTTTATGCTAAATTATACGGAGTTGTTCGAGTCGTAGACTACCTACTCATAAATATGAGTTCATCTAATAAAAATTTATAAGCGTTTCAATTCTCAATTTATTCTAGATCGACGATTTCCTAGTTTTTGCACTAGATATTTTTTTTTAGATTTATCATCATCAGCTCACTATACGTTCCTACTGAGGAGCTCGGAGCCTACTCAAGTTAAGGATGACTAAGCCTAACCACGCAGGCGAAGTGCTGGTTGGTTGGCTCCACCCATACTTGTGAATTTATTTGAGGATATGTGCAGGTTGCATCATGATGTTTTCCTACACCGTAAAAAAATTGGACAAATGTAATTATGTAAATTAAAAAATCACATTGGTATATGGCGGTATTTGAATCCAGAACGAGCAGATTACAAGTCAAATGCTTAACCCCTGAGCCTTCGACGCTTTATTTTTTCCGATTAAAAGTTTAATTTTTCTTTAACCGTTCAAAACTAGTATAAGCCAGTATTAATTCGTTAATTATAATTAACTTGGAGTCAAGTTAGTTTAAATTACTCTGAATAATTAGCTTTCTCCGAAAAGCGAATAAAAAGTCTAATTTTAAAGACAAGGCCTAAGCTTCTTTGCGCACATTAAAGTCAAATTTCGACCATAATTTAAAAAAAAAATCTTCTTCACGTTAACTTTAATGCCCTTGGTACTCAAGGTAACGTAAATATTCTAAACCCGGCGATTTAATTCGATAAGTGACTTACTGTATTATAGAGCGTTTATGATTTTTTTTGTTTTGTCGCTAAAGTTAAGCCGGAGCTCAAGTCGATGACAAGAAAAAATGTCCGTTATTTTCAAGATGGCGGAGCGATTCTATACAGTTGACATGTAATTGTTATGCCTGGTATGTCACCGAATTGGAAGGGATCCCAAAGTTTTCGCTTCAAATATTATTAATATATTGATTGCCAATGTAATTATTGTAGCAAGTAAAAATATTATGTTGCAGTATCGTTCGTTGATCAAATGGTGACATTGTAGTAGCTATTTGCCGTCGTAGCGATTAAATATCGTTGGGCCCATTCAACGATGACAAAGGGAATCCATAGAACCAATCAAATCGATCGTTCGATAGGGAGAATTTAATTTAATGTGAGAAATCTATTATTTAAGTTACTGTTAATCGACCATGAGTGCGACACATGGTACTCTACTGCGACCGTAATTTAAAATGTCTTAATTAACAAAAGAACTATGTGTACCGCTTGAAACTTAAATATTTAATTACTGTTTAAGCATATCTCTAAATTTACGAAAAAGGTGAGGTACTTATTAAAAACTCTACCGATGTGTTATATATCAGAAAATAAATTAAAACTGAATAGAAGCGAATTGGAAATCTTAAAGAAGGTTGCAGGAAACCGAGCGTAATATTCAAGTAAAACTTATTTCTATCAGCCGTAATCAATATTCGATCTCGAACTTTTTTTGCTTATCCGCGGATATTTTATTGACATTTTATCATAATTGAAATATGTAAGAGCACTCGAAACCCACTTGCATTTATGCGTAGATGTTTGCATGTAGAATAGTAAAAGTCTCAGGACCGCGCCAAATTGAGCTCTCTGTTCTCTGCCTGCTCCTCTGTGTTACGAGCGTATTGTTGTATTTTAAATCCATTTGTTCCGAATTCAACCGATCTTGAAATAGATATAGATAATGATCTATTGTATAGAGGGTGATTATTATTTAGTCCGTTTCATATAAAGTAATTTAAATAATTTTCAGATCGATCTCAAGATTCGATAATCTAGATTTCAACATGTGTCAAAGACGCCGATGGTGTGAGATGTTCGCGACAGGCGACATGCTCTTCATTGTGGGTAGACGTAATAATTGAATGCTTATTTCCTTCTTAAAATTAAAAGTCTGAAGTTTTCGTTTTCTTTGTTGCACTCTCATTGTGATTCTCGATTTAAAATTAAAAAGGTGAAGTAGATTTTAAATTAAAAAAAAAGTTTTTTTTTTAATTTATCTGGCTGATTATTTTATGCCCCCTTTCAATATTTAAAAAAAAAATGTCAAAGTATAAGAATGTGCATTCAATTGTAATTAAAGTCAAAGCATAGCTTTGTTCTCAACTTAAATAAATTAAAGAATTTCTTCGACGATTCTAGAATGCTTTGTTCATTGTCGATATAGTAGGCGTAGCTGGTTGGGAAAGGGCGTGCCGAGGGGGTGGGAGATCTGCGCCCACTGCGAGCGTCGAGTAGGGTGAGGTGCTCTCGATGCGCGGGAGACGGGGTGGTCAAGGCTAACACTGAGGGAGGCTTGGACCTTGAACAATAAATACGTAGTGGTCGTTCAATAATCGTGTAATTTTCTATGTTCTTTAGCAATCCAACTCCTATCCTCTTGGTGATATGAGGTGAGGTTTTAGACTAAAATACGCAAAAAAGCGTGAATTTTAATACTCATCGTACGAAATTTTCAAAATGTAATCTTTAAATACAGGTAGGAATAAATCTGAAATTTTGGAAAAATAAGCATCTCAATAAAAAAAATTTGATTATAATATAAAAGGTTGCAGGATATAAAACATACTTGACAACTCATTATATTCCCGCTTATTCCCCTCATCCCCAGTATTTTTTTCCATCCCCTTCCCCTTCGACGATACCTAATTAACAAAGTTAGCTCCCCCAACTACTGGGAGGTATATCCTTCACCTGTAAAATCTAGGTCGCATTGCCTAGGCAAGGGGTCTAGGCAAGGTCTAGGGGGTGGCGAGCTTACTCCCAGTCCCGGGACGCAAGCTGTTTTGACCTTCAATCAGCTATTGATTTGTTACACCCCCCTCGCCACCCCACCCCAACCCCTTCAGCCCACTACTTTTTCAAGCCCCCTACCCCCTCGATGGAGGATTTTTTTCTTTTAAATATCATTTTAGATCGAAAAAAATCCATGATGACACATGATTTTTTTACAATTAAGAAAATGTCCACTTTTCATTTTTTTGTCTAAATTAAAAAAAAATATATACGAATATATAGAATAAACTGTGTTTTATTTTATATATCCATAAAAAATATATATTTAAATTTTTCCGTCCAGTAATCGAATCTAAGTTTAAATAAGTAAAACTAACTATATGTTGCAAAATATAGTCCCGACGCAAAATAGGTATACTACGTCGAATCAAAGCAACAGGCTGGAGCAACAGGTCCCTTTGGAGTTTGCCAACAAATAACGCGTATTTACACAATACATCAACTGTTGAATGCGTAACAAAAGAACGCAACAAAGTTAGTATTCAAAAGTATTAAACCTCCATTGATTAATTTTATTTATTAAAAATAAATTTATTACAAGTAAAATTAGTTTTTATTAATTTAATTAATCAATGTAGATTTTTAATATACTTACCCATTTTGTACCACACTTCTGAGTTTCTTCTGAGATATTCTGTAGTTCGTTTTTCACCGGTCACGTATTCGTAGTAGATGGAATGTTCGGAACTTAGAAACATAATAGCCGAAGAAGTTCTTTCACCAAATTACACCATATTTTGCGGATTGACATAATTAAGAAAAAAAAATAATTCACTAATTTTTTTTTAATGAAATTCTATGTTCCACGGAAACGGCGCATCGAAATAATAAATTACGGTAAAAATGAAAATTAATCTATTGCAGGGCGTTTTTAAACTAATAGAGAAAACCAGACCGCGTTTTAGAATTTTCATCGTTTAACACTTAAATAATAAACAATTAAAACAATCGCGACAAATAAAGAAATTAAAAAAATCAATGTACTACAACAAGTACATAGCCATGTACGAGGATCTTCATTCCAGTTACGATGCACTTTGAAAAATTAAACACGACCGGGGGGGGGATAAAGCACTGGTGTCGAGAGCGACGCGACCCGAGTTAGCGCGTATGAGCGCTATTGCGTTGTGACCTGCGATGGGAGTTGCGACGGCTTTTATAGTGTTCTCCGCTCGCGAACCAGTGAGCCCACCCCCGCATTCAAACTTCCCAACTTTTGTAGGGAAAATTTTCCCCATTTTCTACGCAAGGTATTTTAATTTGCAATGAATACAAAATAAATATTATCAAGTAAAGTTAAATAAAATGCTACTTGATATTAGTGCTTATTAAAAACACTTTTTAATACATTGGTGTCAACTTATTTATATTTCTAATGGAAACTGATAATATTCATAAAATGTTTACTGGGCTGTTTGTTTACGTTATTTTACATATTTTATGAAAATTTGTTTTATTTTTATTATTATTTATTATTCAAAAAAAGAAATAAATATTGATTAGATAGCAGTTGTAAAAGCCCACAGAGTTTAAATGTACTTACCGGTTGTTAATTACTTATTTCTTTTAAATTAAAACAAGTACTCCCAATAAATCAATTTGCAAGTTTTAACTTTATTATTCATATCACCAAAAGGTTAAAGGCAAATATGTTAAGTAACTTACAATCAGATATTATTCAATTTGACAAGAAAAAATATAAAAATATTTCTACAAAAAAAATATTTTAGTCACTACTGACATTTCTATTATTCTATTAATTTTTCAAGCTTAGTATTTGAAAATTTCCAATTTATTGTTCCATAAATTTAAATTGATGTATTATTTACAAGTAAAAATATTATATTTAAAGTTACGCTCAATAAATACTACTAAAAACTAAAAAACAGCTTTTAATTCCATTAAATAAGTAATTATCCATTTAAAATATTTAAAATTTAATTTTTTTTTAATAAATTTTGATTCCACGAATTAGGCCATTGCAAAAAAATTGAAGCATTATGCGCAATTTGATTGTTAATAAGTGCAATGCTTGTTGGAATAGGGTGTTAGTTGTTTTAAACCGATTTTTCTAAAAGTCGTTGCTATCAGCCATCATCTCAGCACATGACCTAATATAATGTTTAAAAGGCGCTGGTGATATAATTTTGATGTAATAACAGTTGGTACATACCTAATTCATGTCAAAAGCTTTGTTTTTATATTTACTGCATTACTTGATTATTAAAATGTAAATGTAAAAATAAAAATATTTTTTCCCAAATTTTTGGGAAAATTTTTGACGTATGGCAACACTGAAACGTTTACAGGATAATAGTTACGGCGCGGTAGTAACAGGTGGATGACGCGTCACACGGTACATTCCGTGCGTTGCGGCGAAAATTGAAATTTTCTTCGGAAATTTAACATTTTTGGTGTTTTGCATTGAAAAAATATTGTCAAAGTAACTAAAATATTTTATCTGATATTATTAAAGTGTAAAAACTTACTGTAAAAAAATTAAAAAGTGTGAATTTGTGAAAATAAATTTATTACGTATAAAAAAATTCCGAAAATCCTTAACTGTGACGTTTTTAAATAATACTATTAATTTATGTGATAATAAATAGTGATTTAAATAAATTTTAAATTCATAATACATTTGAAAAGTGACGTGAGTGTTGGACGGCGGCTGCTGCTTTTACGCGTGAAATAAATTACTGAGAGTGTAACCAAACTTTGTGCCTAAAATTTCAAAGTGAAAAAAAAAATTTTTTTGAAACTTTTACGAACATTTACAAGGATTTCAGTGGTTTGTGCGCCGTACTATCACCCGGACGTTGAAGTCTTTTAAACGCGTCGCTCCGTAAACTCTACATATTTTCTCGCTTTCTTGTAAGAAAAATGAATATTAATTTTCGAAAATCCTATGTTTTAATTATTTATCTTTTGCTTTTTGATAATATGTGGCTGTTTATTGCCGTTAGCATTATCTGTGCAATAATAATGGCAATAAGATTGTATGAATTAAATAGAGATGACGATAGATTCGATTAATAGAGTCTGAAAATGTGAAATAAAAAATTGTGCATATAATGTGTTAAGTTCATACAAGATTAATATTTTAATATTAATTTATCATAAAATGAACATATAATACACTCAAAAATGTTTGTATTATATTTTTTATATTAAATTGTATTATTATAATAATATAATATGTCCTATATATTTTTAATAACACTTTTAGGTAAATGTACGGGAGTAGAAATTAAAATAAATAAAGAATGTTATGTTTTCTTAGTCTTAGCTGTGAATTTCACTTTTAGAAAGAAAACTACCTTTTCTTTCTATCAGTACAAATTCACAGCTAAAAAGATGTCCATTGAAATATATAACAACTTGCCTTATATTCTTTATCGTTAATAAAATTCCTAAAATATTGTTGATATTTTTAAATTATCTAAATGTTGTGCAAATGAAAATTTTTATAAAACTGTAAAAGTGAATATAATTGTTTCATAATATTTATAAAGAATTGCTGTTCTCAATAAAATTTTATAAACTTTATAATGATGCATTATTTCCTCTCACCTTTCCCCATAAAATATATTAAAAATCTAATTTACAAATCTTAAAACTTATATAGTACAAAAAATAATAGCAAATAAATAACACAGGATCTTGACAGACAGACGGACGGACAATATAATTTTGAGGTATGGAAGCCTAAAAATACTATGAGGTATGGAAGCCTAAAACTAACATGAAGTAGAGTCTGAACAATATGCTATGGGCGCTCTCGCTCGACATATCTATACATACATATATATAATATCTCTGTCATATTAGTAGTACCCATCAGGTGTCCCTGGAATGTCCCTTTTATAAGTAAAAACCTTGTTAACACGGGCGCGCTCGACCCTTGAGCTGGTTTTTTCAGTTAAGCTCATTGTATTTGAAATATCTTCAAAACTATTTGTCGGAACGATATACTGTAATAGGCAATTTTAATCTACATTAAATCCTTTTGATAAATAATACATTTATTTATTTGCAAATTAATAATTAAAAATTGATTATTGTGAGAGAACCGTAACAAACCCTAACAAAAAGTCAATAATAAGTAATTTAATCTGTTAAGTGGCTGTTAAGCAGATCATTCAAGCGAAAAAACGTCACGTAAAATGACTTTTGTTTGTTGAGTTTTACAGATATAAATTATCAAAACGCAAAAAAAAAATACGAGAAATTCAATAGTTCAAATTCAATCCAGCACTGTAGTGCATTTGTTATTGAAAGCTTTTTGGGGGTGGAAAAAATAATCACGAGGACGTTAAGCTGAGCTATACTGAATTAAATCCAATTTCATTTGCTCACAGCTTTTAGTAGAGCTCTGGAAACAAATTTATTTCACATGCAATTATCCCATTCGCAAAAAGTGTCGATTTAATTAATTGAATATAGTGTAAGCTGTTAACTAGGTTTTCAGATAATTAGAAACGAACAACAATAATATTAATTTTTAAATAACATAATTTTAGTTTTTAATACCGAAAATCCAACTAACTGACTCTAGTGGATTAAATAGCGTCATATATTGTTTGCATTTTAAAACAAAGATTTCAAAATTATTGACTTTAGTTAAAAAGAAAATGTTTAAAAAAAAAAAACACTTTCTTATTTTAAAATATACTTGTAAGTAATCCTAAAACAAAAGATTAAACAATAAAAAAAACAATGAGTAGTGAGATGTGAACTCATCTTTTCACTATTTTTTAGAATTTCAGCTTTTGCGTTAGCTACATGTTCTTTGTTCCAATGTTATACACCCTGTAAGCGGGGAAGCGGACGAATCGAATGAAACTCATTCGTCAAAATCGCTTTAGTCGTTTAGGCTTTAGGCCACCACAATGGAATTTACAAACATACAAACCCGCATACATAAAATCAAACTTACATTGGCGCGGTAAACATTACCTTCTTTGTTAGTCCAGTAGTGAAATAATGATTCAATTAAATAAATAAAATTAAATTTATTCAGTGTGGTTTTTACTGTAATATTAAACTCACTAAAAATGATATGTAGAAAATCGACTCGACTTAGTATTTATTTATACATATTAATAAAATTAGAGTGTCTGTATATCTTTCGCAAGATCGCGTTTATTTCAGATAATCTCCAGAACGGCTCGAACGATTTTAACAGAACAGGAAGTTAACTAAAACACGCGGGCATATCATAGGCTACTTTTTTAATACCGCGCTGACGACGTCGCGCTCTATAAAATTATAAATTTCGTTCGGATTTTTTTTTTATATTTTTGGCGAAACTTTGGTATGGTATTAAAACGCCAGAGAAGTATTTAGACCTAAAATATTTAAAAGTTTAAAAAACAATTATCAATACTTTAAACATTATTTTGACTTATACTAAGTTATGCTATGAGAAAATATGAGTGACAATTTACCTCGTCTTTTTTATGACATGGCAACATCTTGTCAAGGTTTACACGTTCCTGTTTATTCTATTGATATTTCGTGCCCCAAATGATGGGTAATTTTCTTAATCAAGACTCCAGTATGAACAAGAAGCCAACAAATGGAATTTTCCCAAAGCAAACAAACCAATTTTCTATTCATAACCTTTGAGGTCATATTAATCAAAATATCTACGATT